TCGTTGGCAGATCTTGAATGCAGATTTGAAATCAGCATCAAAAAATACGTCCAGCAGTATAGGTCTCGTTTCAAATGGCCACTTCGACTTGGGATCCTTCCCTTGTGAGAGGATAAAAGCACTGACTTATAATAGCTAGCCACCATAAGTCATTGTATAGGCTATATATGCATTCATTGCGTCACTACGAATATGAAGAGAAGTCGAATGGGGAGGAGTGCATCCCTCAGACGGGTTTATTAACGTCAAAAACTATCCTTTTTTGTTGCTCCTTAGGATTGGCGACTCATTGTCAGAAAGGGACACATATTTTCTTTGTTGCGGTATCAGTGCCACAGAACCTATCCCATCATATATATTCTAAGAGTTGCAGAAAGTCGTTGCGCTTTCAGACCTCAATAAAGTAGGAGAAATGAAATTTTCAGAGGATGGTTCGTTTTAAGATCAAGGGTACGAGTTAGAGATCTCTTAAGCGTAAGTGATAAACGTGAGGTTCTAAATAGAAAAAAGGGGATCTCGGCTCATTGCTCATTATTTCGAATTGAAGATGATCAGATTTATTGCAATGATGATACCTTGACTGATAGGTATTTTTCCTTATTAGCTCCCACTCGTGCTCAAATACTAAGGATGTTTACAAGGATAATGTCGTACCATTATTCCGTCCCCAAGCCTCACTCGCTTTCGCAGGCTTCCTGAATGCAGGCAATAAGATTATTGACATTGTTTTTTAGCAGTAATGCTCGCAGATATTAGGATATGGGTGCGGTTTATGTGGCGGCGTTTTTAACGCGGGTTACAAAACTTCCTTTGAAGCTGTGACAAGGTAGCTCTTGGATCTGGCTAGTGAAGTATCAATATTAGTGCAGTAAACTTACTTCAAACAGCATACTCTAACCGCTTCTTACCATTGTTTCCCTAACTAGACACGAAATTCTGGCGCTCCCTCAACCGGACCGATTCCTGCCAAGAAGAGGAAGTTGGATGATGGAAAAATTCTTTCTGGTGACAAAGACGCTGAAACGTGAAGGAGAGACTTCCAGAATGCTCCTTAGTTGAAATATTATATGTTGTTGTTAAAAAATTCTTTAGATTCTATTATAGCGGAAGGATATGAATTATGTTATAAGATATCATACTATGCTATGAGCCGTTTTTCAATGGTTCGTTAGACACCTCATTTAAAGTACTTTTGCGGAAATCATATGAGATTGATCTGTTACTTCTTTTCTGCCCCTATAATCACAACTTGAATCACTTATTCTGTTTTTTTTACGCTGATTTGCTAGTCGTCAATAACTGGAAAAGGATCGATTGTATCTGCCAGTTTGTTGTTCCGGGTTGTTTTCCTGTAGAATCTTTCAAGCATGTTCGCAACGGGAGGACTTACTTGAGCACGTTTGATTCTGTTTGAAGCTGGTCCTAGAGATTTTCATTGATAGCACCTCATCGTATTTTTTCTTCTCTACATAAAGTTTGTTCTCTAACTGTGTCATGTTTCTTCTCTCAATCAAGCATTCAAATGTATTGATCGTTTTGTGAAAGAGCGTGCAGTTCCTTAGTTTTGTGTTTGTTTGAATAATAAACAGCTTATTTCTTCACGTTAGTGAAGCATTTTCTTTTTCAGTCGCTGCTGTGCTTATTACTTGCTTCAAGATCCTTCGTTTTTCTTCACCAGGCCTTTCATCCAATCGACGATCATGACAACTACATTTTCAGACAGAACCTTCGACCTCACGTGGTTACACTTCTATGTCGCCCAGTTCTCAGGCAGTTGTTGGAAGAGAAGAAGTGGGATCTCGTGCTCAGCTTGGAACTTATGATGGCAGCTGGCAACGATTATTTCCTGTATTTCATTTGTTTCATATATTGTTGCTGTTTTCCAACATAGTGCGAACTTGTTCAGGAGTGGGTTCAAATAATCCAAGACGATATCAGGTCAGCTCAAACGAATCCTCGTCGGGCGCGTAATCCCAGTGATATCTATCAAACGGCTCATCCTGAGCAAGCGAGAAGGGTAGATTCCCCATTTTAAGTGAGTGCCTATGCTTGAAATAGTATATATAGGTAATTATTTCAGCAAGTTGTGCCAGAGCACGCTTCGAGCCAGGATGTATTGTCCTCTGCGTTGCGAGAGACCGTTGGCAGTGCTTTCCATGGCAATATCCCAGTGAGTGCATTTTCCTCTTCAGTTTGATAGTCTGCACATATCTTTACCTGCCACTTGCCATCGATGCTCGCTCTGTCGCTGATGTTAATAATCGTCCATTCAGGCCGCTGTTGAAGCGAATCTAAGTTCGTCCTCTGCTACGAGCGCTTTCAGTGAGTTATTGGATTCGGCCATACAACGCCGTCTTGACCAAGACAATGATTACGATCCATCTCGTTATCCTAACATAAATCGCCGGTATTCAAGGAAATAGTGACCTTAAGAGATAGATGAAACGCTCAGTGTATGTCGCAATTCACTTGGCAATAGATTTATGGATGATGAATAACATTCATATCTTTGTTTCCNTGACCAAGACAATGATTACGATCCATCTCGTTATCCTAACATAAATCGCCGGTATTCAAGGAAATAGTGACCTTAAGAGATAGATGAAACGCTCAGTGTATGTCGCAATTCACTTGGCAATAGATTTATGGATGATGAATAACATTCATATCTTTGTTTCCCGCTGTCGTGCCGATATTCGTCGTAGATGGTCTGAGTAGAAGTCAGCCAGGATCCCTTTTGTGATAGTAACTTCTTTCTTTATCTTCAAACCATGTTGGTCCTTTACGCTTCGTTGTTTGATGAGCCATTTAATCTCGATAACATCCATGTTTTTTAATTTTATAGTTTGCGAGAAGTATTATTCTTTCTCAATTGGCATTCAGCTAAATTGAATAGTTGTACGAGAATTTAAGCAGATTAATAAATCTTTTTTCAAACATAGGATATAGAAGAATGGTGTTTGTTCACAGCCGTACCACGCACTTTGACGTCTCTGGGAGTGACATGCACGGACGTTATCCAGTGGTAGTGTATCTGAAGGCGCAGCCAGTTGGTCAAATCTCGATCTGAAGTGGTGTCACCCATGGGCGTGGTTCATTGTGCCCCAACGGCATATGTGTCGGCTCGTCGCACATATTTGCCGCTTGCTGTGGGAGTTGAGTGCGATGTCCAACAACCGTGATGGTTGATCTCAACGGGGTGGAATGTCTGGAGTGCGTTGAAGTCGACCTCATAGTTTGCACGACGATCATGTGCATAGTAGCGACGTCACTGGCAACTGGACAACATCTCTCCTTGATTCAATTACTAGGTAATATTTATTATAGCTTCATATGTTATAGATTTCAGATAAATGAGGGGACAAGGTCGTAGCGCCTCGGAAATTCTGGCACATGCTAGAAGAAGTGCTCGTAAACAAGTAGGAGTTTTAATTTTCAATGGTGTGCTTTGGAAGTTGTAATCTCTAATGCAGGACGAATTCAGTAGAGGAGGTTTCCATTTCGTTGCTGTCTCGGATCACATTTTGGAATCCCAATGTGCTCATGAGGGAGCAGGGGACATGCAATGTTCTGTACGTTTTAATGAAGCTTTTCTGGTTAAAAAGTTTTAGTTATGGAGTTGTCGATCTCAGCCTTGGAGCACCATTACAGAGATGCCGTTTCGAGATGTCATTACGCTTGCCAGAACTTCCTGAAATGGTGTTTCCCAATAATGCGCTTACTATCGAGTTTACCAAGTTTGCCGGTTCGTTGCATTGTCTAATTTCATTTTTTAAAAAGTGCACTTGTAGGTGTTATTCTGTATTCCCGAACTATATATATAGGTTTCTGGTGAAACCATCCGTGGTTTTGCTCGTATGAACTCGATATCTCGATGAACTTATTGTACGTGTATTCGCTGTCGGTGCACTCGTTTCTGTACATTGAACTCAGTTTGTAAAAAATTCAGCTGCCCTTTAAATCGGTGCTCAGGCCCTACGCATTACCGGGTATTTCACGTCAGAGATAGGTTTAAGCCATGATTTGATTTGTTCAACATCGTCACATGGAAAAGGGTAGATGTGTGATAGCAAAAGGCACACTATCATACGAATGATCTGAGGATCAAATCGCGAACCTACTCACCTAAGCATACCTACCATCCTTCGAGAGTCTCTAGATTGCTTCCAGCCTCGTGTGGAAGGATGATTAAACATTGTCCTGTACAACGGCTGACCGCAGAAATTATTCTCTAGGCTTTGTATGCATTCGTCTTGTAGTGAACTATTGATTCTGTTGGGCAACATTTTCTGATAAATTTAGGGGAGAGACTACGTGTCTTTGCTATAACTCGATCGGTTCGGGCTCGGAGAGAGCTCAAATTCAAAACGCCCACTGCCATCCGAGGCGCCCCTGCATTGGCACTCTAACACGCCGCCTGAAGATTTACTACTTGTTTTGTGTTCTCCAATGGAAGAGGAGCCGTATTCTTAATCAATTTAGACTTGTGAAACTTCATTAGAGGAAGGTGTTCGTGATTGGCGTTGAATTGATGGCGTTGAGGCTTGATCCCAGTTGTATGATGGTGATTAGATAACCCTTTTATGATTCTACCTCATCTATTTCAAATCACCTTCAAAGATTCCTCTTTAGCCTCAGTTGAACCATCCTAAAGCTGACCCTGTGAGGCAGCGCCGACAGAGGAAATGGACAAGGATTCGTTCCCTGATCCGCCAGATGCACTTACAATATGGAAATGGGGGATTTAGGATTGTCCATTATTACCGTGTTTTCCACTATTCTTTCTTAACCATTCTCGTTCTATTGAGAAATGATAACTACTTTTCTATACTCTTTGATCATGCATAATTTCATGGCCAGTTCTACCTTTAGAGGTTGTGCTGTGGTTGAGTTCTTCTTGAAAAATTTGTTCCTATCACAGGAAGTTTTATCAGCTTCAATGCACTCGATGCTCTGAAGATGGTATCTCCTGATGTTCTTCCAGATGTGCAGGTAAGTACATTAACTGACTTGGAAATGTGCTGTGAAGTAGAACTTGTTTGTGCTCATGAGGCAATTCATTGTCTCCGTCAGGCGCGATCATATGTTCTTGAAAGTTGCTACTCGTTGCTTCAAATTACTCCTGGACTGCATTTTCTGTTCAAGGTTGCTCCTTCATCAGCATGGCAAGAATCAAGACAAGGAATCGTAGAAAAAACTGCCCATCCATTCGATTGGACTTTCACTACAAAGTACGCTGGAACCGTACATGGGTGCAAAGTAGGATACTTTGGTTCAATTTTTTGGCAGAAGGAGCTATCTATTACTATAGTGACTTGTACTGCTAGGTGGAGCCTACCGACTTGACCGTTGATATGGAGCGTTTAAAACGACAAGAACCTATAGGATTTTACTCACAAGTAACACTGTATGAGGATGAATTAGCTGACCATGGTACATCGCAGGTTAGTCATGTGATGTTTTCTCTGTCTTTCAAAGGTGGTGTTCATTGTTTCATTGTTCGGTTTTGAAAAAATCCACGTGGGATTTGAGGCATTAAACATCGCGTTGGCTCGCTGTTCATAGCAACCATTTGTACCGCATTACTTCATATGAGAGTGGCACATTCCTAGTGAGTTCTCGCTGCTGTCGTGTAAGCGCCCAGCCACCCACTATCAAGTGGGGCGGGACGAGGTGGGGGTCAGGCTCGTGCTGGCTCCACTGTTACTTGTACATCTCACTTGCAATTTTGCTCAGCGCTGGGGACGGTCCAGTCCTCCCACACTCTTACACTCTCTATCTCGTGCAATCAATATATTGAACCACCTTGTTTTCTAGTTTCAAAAATGGCCACCCAGATCTGCGAGCATCCATCCCGGTTATCTGGTGTATCGGCTCAATAGCCAATTTCCCCACGTCAAAGAGTAACATCTTTGGGGCCTGAAACGAAGACAGCTCTTTTCACGAACTAAATTTTACGGTCTTTCCTAAGACGCAGACTTAATTGATTCGCCTCTCGTCAGGGAAACTCCCGTACTACGTAGCTGGAGACACCTAAAGTTTTTCTAAACTCAGGAACTCAGCTTTTGGTTCAGAAATCGCACAAAAAAATGGCGTTGCATTTCCACAAAACTCCTATCATAAACAGCGCAAAAACGCGAAGAGGTTTAGTCTCCGCATATACGGAATACCCAAAAAAGTAGATTATCTCACAATAGACGAGGATAGCTACGAGATGTGTAAAGAAACAACCTCGCTGCTGCAAAGTGGTATAAATCGAATCAAATAAGGGAGAGAAAACTTCACAAAACTTTACAACGAAGTGAGAAGAATACAGCAATTGTAAAAATAAGTCTGACAAAAAGGAAATAATGTTGGAAATAGAACAAATCGAGAGTGAGTCGCAGTTACATAAAGAACTGGCCGCTGCAGATGAGCTTATCTTCATTTTAAGCGCACGCTATGTTGAGTGTAAGTGGGTAAGGGACCGAATGAGTGTAAAAATCGGCTACGTTTCTCAGTGAAGCCTAATACCGCAAAAGACCTCATGTGAGGGTCCTAAACACCAAATTGATCAAGAGTAGAACCACATTCATGTCGAGGCAACCCAAAGTAGCCAAAGTAGCCATTCATGAGACACGTCTTGTTTGACTACTATTGAGATGAATAACGAACGTGGGACCTCATCGCTCAATAAAACCTTTCCAATCAGCGCTATCGAAATTTTATGGTAATGCTGAGGATTTCCAGAATACTGGGCAATTTTCGAGACTCTCGTTCATAGCAGTCACGAGTTAGACGTTATGGATAAAATCATGCTACTGAAAGCAAGTCTCAAGGGTAGAGCACAAGCCTTCATTAATGGAATTAAGCTGATACCACAAAATTACGAGTAGATCATTCATACACTAAAGGAAACTCCGCACTCAACTTGCAAATAGGGCACATGTAGTACAAAAACTGACCAAAATTTAATCGTTTATAAGATATGAAGATTGCACATTGAGAGGGACGCTGTATTTAATTCAGTGTTCAGCCTGTGACGGAGTGCATATGGATAAGACGGGAATAATGTTGAGCATATGCTTTGAAGAACATCTAGCAGGTAAAAGGCGTGGAAGCCTATGACGCCACTTGGGAGGCACCGATGCGAAGAACATCAGGGCAATGGGTTTGATTATAGATGTAAGACCTTAGCCTCCGCGGTTGAGATCGATGATAGGAAAATATTGGGAGCGTTACCTTCCGCGGAGAAGCCCGCAGCTGAGCAAACGGAATGAGCGAGATGCCGTAAGAAGTGGTGTTCTGCCATTCCATCCTTTTTGTGGGCTCCGAGATCACAATGTAAATAACTCGTATATAAAGACTGTCATAGGTATTCAATTGATCTCTTGTTGTTCCCGCAAATGAGGGGGACCAGAACGCTAGTCAACCCGATTAGGGTTTTTTCGGCTGGGATCTTCTGCTGGGATCTTCTGGAGTTGTAAGAGTGGTTTCACCGGCCTATCGCGTTCAAGTGCATGATCGGGAGCCCACAAATTTCTCTTAGGTCTTTAAAGATGACGATCTGTCCATAAAGTCGATCGAATAAAACGGTTCAATCATAATGAATCTGCAAACCCACCTGTCTGAAAAGGGAAGAGCTGTAATGGACGATCATATGCATACAGCACTGCAATTAATCAGGGTAATATAAGCCTTTACAAAGACCGTTTAAAAGAATTTCTCTTACTCGATTGCGCACTGATGGTGGTGATCAGACATTTAATAGGAGTGTATGAAGAGCAACAATGATGTGATAGAGCATGTTGAATACATTTTATCATTGCAACACGTTCTTTATCTCGAATCTATCTAATTGCATCAATAAAAATGGAAGAAAGAGGGCATAGGGAGCACACGAAAGGAGGATCCTACGGAACATGTTGGAAAGTAAAATGAATGGGAAGGAAGATATAAAGTAGAGGTAGTTCTCGCTATTGATGATCAAGTAGATGTTAATTTTTTCATGGTTTCTGCTTAATTGTTTAGAAACCTTGCTCTGAATGCTATTTCGTCGTCAGTTCTGCATAACTTAGATATTTCAGCTATCTGTGAGGCTTCGTGTTATGCCTGGTTTCTTCTTCGCCTTGATGCGATTTTATCTTCGAATTGACAGAGTGCTTGTTCGGTATGTTTCGATGCATGGCATTTCATTCCTTACCACTTGAGTGTAGAGTACTCCCACCTTTTCAAATTCATTTGTAGAGGTCTTAGCAATGCGAATAATCGTGCAGTATATAACGTGCTAAGAATGTCTGTTAGTTGGCCTCTCTCTGTGTGTGTATTTGTATAAACAGTGCGTTTCATAATTATAAGGTCACCCTCAAATTTTGCACTTTCAAAAAAAGCAATCATCCAGCACTTTTTCTAGCATCATGAACGGATTCCCCAGCACGAATAACCTAGGTATCCGTTTTTTAGCCGCAGCTGCATTTTTCTGAACTTTTTTAGAGCAGTTTATCGGTTTTTGCACCGTTTCATAATTACAAGGTCACCCTGAAAAGTGAGCAATTTTTCATGGAGGAGAAGAAATTTCGTGTTTGAAGATACTTATAAAGGTAAGCATGTGTAGCAAATGCATTTCTAAACCTGACTGTCAACATGGCTCGTGGTCGTCTGCTCTCCTCTTATGAGAAGGCTCATCATGAAGTTGGGATCTGTACTCGAGCCATCTTCAAGCAAATAGAGAAATCTCCCTCGTCCATTCAAAGGTTCCTGGAGAACCCTGATGTCCCTAGATATAGCACCGACTGTGGACATCCATGAAAGATTACTGCCCGTGACGAGCGGAAGATTCTGAGGACTGTTTCCACCAGTAGGTCCTCCTTGAACCGGATCCGATCGGAATGAAACCCCTCTGTGTCGAAAACTACAGTCTGGAGAGCAGTGAATAGATGCGAGAACATCACCAGGCAAGCAATGGAGAAGGTGCCATGAATCACCGATCGCCACAGAGAGGCTCAATTCAGTTTTGCAAAGATGAACCTAGGGAGAGATTGGGTAAAGGTAGATCTGCATCAAAATCTCACCATAGAGCTGAATAATTCCTATTCAGGTCGTCTTTTCGGATGAAAAGAAATATAATCTGGGCGGTCCTGACGGAAACAAGCACTACTGGC